GTTTAGGGTTTAGGGCTTATACAGGCTCTCGATGTGCTTCTGAAGTGCAGGATCGGAGATGCAAGGCTTAGCAGATTCTCGGCATAGAAGCACGAGAACTGAAACCATGTTGCAACCTCTGGCTCTCTTGCATGCGTTTTTAGCAGTCTTGCAGGCAGACTGGTCTTCTTAGGTACTTAGTGCAACTACCAAGAGCTCACGAGATGTATCCAAAGAGCATCTCCGTGATCAGTTCAAGAAACCTGAACTGAAGGTAACTCCCCCGACGGACACTCGGCAGGACTTCCATAGCCAAGGAATAGCCACACCATCCACGTCCGTTAATGCGAAATGCGACTCAGAACAGAAATCCAACCTGGCACCTGGAACAGTCGCACCCAATTGCAAATCCTACAGCCGGTCCAGAAGCTTGGTTCTGTACGCAGTGATGAAACCTCCTGCCAGATTCCTTGCTTCGCAGCAGGAGGAGGAAGCAGAGTCAGGAGTCGTTGTTGTTTTAGGGTTTAGGCTTTAGGGTTTAGGGTTGCCGTTGCTGCTACTGTTCCGGCAATGCATCGGTGTGGCCCTCATGGTTACAGAGCACAGCAGCAGCATAAGTCCCAGAGCAAGCACAGGAATGTTGATGCCCGGTTACACGTGTAGTCACTGCTGAGCACCGGCAGCAGGAGTTGCACGGATTTTTGTTGAAGTCATACATTCGTAGCAGTCGTCGTCGTCGTCGTAAGTAGGTAAGTAACTAACTAAGTAAGTAAGTAAGTAAGTAAGTAAGTAAGTAAGTAACCAAGTAAGTGACTAAGAAAGTAGTAGCAGTAGTAGCAGTAGTAGCAGTAGTAGTAGTAGTAGTAGTAGTAGTAGTAGCAGTAGCAGTAGCAGTAGCAGTAGTAGTAGTAGTAGTAGTAGTAGTAGTAGTAGGAGTAGTAGTAGCAGCCAGCAGCAGCAGGAGTAGTAGCAATGGAAGCAGTCGTCGATGCGTCGGTGCTGTGGTAGTAGCAATGGGAGCAGTAGCAGCAGTGCACGATGCTGGTTTCGTTTCCAACGCTGCTGTTGCCACCAATCTGCGAACCTTCTGCTTATGCTTGCCAAACTGCTTCAGATTTTGAACGAAGCGGTCACGGCCATTGAAGGAGGTGAATGGATCCGCGAACTCACACTCCTCTGCGTAGAGGGCCACATCTATGTCCTTGCTTCAAAGCCAGGACTGAAACGGACGTCATCCTCAAACTCCAAACCCTAAACCCGCTTACCCGTAATTGTGTTTAAAATGGAACCCGAACCGCCAAACCCTAAACTCCTAGTCCCAACTCTATCTGAATTATGTATATGTATGTATATATATATATATATGCGAAATGCCAGAAGAAGACGAAAGGCCCCGGTGAGGAAGTAGTCGCGGTCGTAGTCTTTCCGCATCCTCTCCACGAGCTCCTGATAGCTTCGGTCGAGTTCACAGGTTGTAGAAGGTTTGGACAAGTGCTACTGTAAGGATGACCAAACCCTAAACCCTAAACCCTAAACCCTAAACCCCGACGACGACGACGACGGCGCTTCGACGAAGAATGAACAACAAGCAACGAACAATAACCGACGCTAAACCTTGAACCCAAAGACAAAGCAACCAACCCTACGCTGACAGTGACCGTCCCTCAAACTTAAATACACATATAGCATCCATTGTAGTTCCTTTTGGGGATTAACCAGTTTTATATTAAGGATTTTATAAGGTATCCCCAAAAAAGAACTACAACGGAGACTATAGGTAGGGTCCTTTACCATTGCAATTGGGCTGGGGGTATGCATGGAGTGGGGAGATAAGAAGCGAGGGTCAGGACCTGTATCCCATGTAGCAACCTTCGTAGGAACTATAGGCTCCAGGGGAGTATTGTTACTAATAAAATTCCATGCTACATTCACCCTAAACCCAAAACCCTACGCCCTAAACCCTAAACCCTTTAACCCTAACTTTGACCCCCCAAACCCTCAAGAAAGAAATACATCGAAATTGCGTGTCTTGGTTCACCTTGAACCTCATAAGCAGTCAAGTTCAGTCCCAGCCCCAGCCACAAGCCCCCGGATCCACCAGAAAACAGTTACAACTACATAGTTTATGGCTACCTTTCCAAAGATACGAAACTTTTTCGAATTCCCTATACTTTGTGTAAGAACCATGCCAAGTTCGCCTTGAAGGGGACTTCGGGTTCTCAATTTAGGTTGTCGAGTTTGCAAATCCGGCCACAACAGCCATAGTTTCCTCAGCTTCCTCTAAAGAACAAACGGCGGCACATATTCGAATTCCGTAAATGTTGTGTGCATGTCTAAATTCGCGTTGGAAAGGTCGGAAGGTGTAGGATTTAGAGTGTCGCGTTCGCAACACCGTCCGAGTCGTTCTCAAAACAAACTGCGAAACGCATTCGGGTTCCTTATGTCTGATGCACAAAACCGGCCAAGTTCGCATTGAGAAGGGTTTAGGGTGTCGGGTTTGCGAAGCCGCTATCAGATTCGCACCGACATGGGAGTAGGGTTTTGGGTTTTGGGTGAATTACATAGGCCGCAGCCTCCAGCCCCAGATCAGCCGCCAGCCCCGCCCAGCTAGCCAAATTCAAAAGCAGATCAACCAGTCCGGCCCAACCCCAAATATACGAAAAGAGGATCCAAACAGAAAACTTTCGCTCAAAATGTTTCGATCAAAAATAGCACACCCAAACCCTTAACAAATTCTATAAACCCTAAACCCTAACAGACCTCCTTGCAATGAGACATTCTGGGAGGGGCCTCTGCTGTCCGCGCTGCATCACCGACCTGCATCGGCAAGATTTCATGGAGAGCTGCAGCATGTAATTCACAGACTAAGGTAGGGTTTAGGGTTTAGGGGCTGTAATTCACAGACTAATGGGTTTAAGGATTGGGGTTTAGTCTTTGGGCTTCAGGTTTAGGGTCTAGGGTTTAGGGTGTAGGGTCTAGAGTAAATTACTACCAATATTGTTGCGGGGTTCCTTACTATATTAGTATAGTCTAACATACCCCAAACCCCCAAACCCTATTCTACTTATTACGGCCCCAAAGACTAAGTCCTATGACTGTAGTTGCTGTGGGGTCAGAAAAGAGGGCTTGCATACTAGGTACTGGCCTGAGGCTGCAGAGATCTCCATCATTTTAGGGTTTAGGGTTTAGGGTTCAGGTGTGTGAGGTTAGGGTAGCCCCGCCTTCCAGTATGCAGACAGTGCCCCCGACAACCACGTACAAGAAACCTCCCCAAACCAAGGAAACCCTAAACCCTAAACCCGAGCCGCAGAGCCAAACTGGCGAAGCCACCCTGAACCCTCAACCCTAGCTACTAGGCCCGCATTCCAAAGGAGGTACCAACAATCAGAGCGACAACAAAGCTAGTACTAGTCGTCATCGTAGTAGTAGTCGTCGTAGTGGTAGTAGTCGTCGCAGTAGTAGTGTAGTCGTGGTGGTAGTAGTAGTAGTAGTAGTAGCAGCAGTCGTCGTCGTCGTCGTGGTGGTGCTAGTAGTAGTAGTAGTAGTAGTAGTAGTAGTAGCAGTAGTAGTAGTAGTAGTAGTAGTATTATTAGTAGTAGTAGTGGTAGTAGTAGTTGTTGTTGTTGCTGTTGTTGTTGTTGTTGTTGTTGTTGTTGTTGTGGTGGTGGTGGTGGTGGTGGTGGTAGCAGTAGTAGTAGCAGTAGTAGTAGTAGTAGTAGTAGTAGTAGTAGTAGATGATGTAATAGTGGTCGTGGTCGTCGTCGTAGAGGCAGTGGCATGGCAGCGGCAGCAGCAGCAGTAAGGGTCGGAGTAG